ACTTTTAGAAGGAGGTAGTCAAATTGTGTTAACCTTTAAATCCTTCTCTAGACAGCTGTGTGGCCGGGTTGCATCGCTGATGGCCTGGGCTATACAGGAGGTCAGATTAGATCTGATTATGGTCCTTTCTGGCCTTGACTCTATGAGAATTTGGCACAAAGTGTCCAAAACATACCAATCAAAAGTTGTTTTTCTTTCATCTTTTTTTTTTTAACCCGACAACTTCCCTGTCTATGAGGCTGTGGGAATGATGGACTGTACAGAGCACATACCCATATTCCATGGATACTGTCTGTATAGGCATTATAGTCTATATAGGGCTTTGGCCTGGCCGATGAGGGAGCTGGATTCTTGTCCTGGCTCTGCCAGTAACCATGGTCAAATCACTTCACCTTTCAATGCTATAGGTTTCTCCACTTGTAAAATAGTGGTGATGATATTTGCCATCCTCTGTAAAGCACTTTGACATCCACAGAGTTCGATATGAGCTCAATATCCACAGAGCACCAACACCTTTGCTTTGCTTTTGCTTTGGGAGTTGTAAAAGTAAATCTTTCGTGCTTTTCGAACATTTTCCATTCCTGTGTCTTTACCTCTTTGTTTATTGCTCCTGAATGTCTGTTTTAATCAAGAGCAAAACAACTGGCAGGACAATTACTGTTATTATTTTAGTACTGACTGTTTGCGCAAGGTTCACAAATTAAGACGATTCTGGCCCCAAAGATCTGTCAGTCTCTCGAAGACATACGTAGAGACTATGGTGCGTCTCAAAGAACCCTGAGCAGGGAGTAGCTTAAAGTTTAAATTCTTATGTATATGTAAAAAGAAATTAAACCATTTATTTATTCAATTTTATACATCCAGCAAAGGAAAAAGGTACTTGCCAGTGCTCTAGGCATGTCTTACAAGAATCAAAAACATGCTCCGTTGAACTACACCTTGCAAAAGACATCAACATTCCAGCATATCAATATTGTTGAGACATTTTTCACCCCACCCCTACAAAAAGGCAAACCTAGGCTGAAAATTGATAGCATTTGAGAAACTACTCACTATATCCATGAAACTCAAAGGCTTATCTCCATGCCTAACAAAGTAGTCGCTGTTACCCAGAGGAAATAACTATGTTCATGAAAAGATGGAAAGTTGAGGTATGCATAGACACCAAAATTGAGGAATGGGAGAACATATGGAGCGATTGTCTGTTCACCTCAATAAACAGGTTAATAAAAGAAAATTACATTAAAATTCTTTATCAAAGGCACCCAACTCCCCTTAAAGTTAAAGAAATGTATGGTACAGGGACGGGCAAAATGATGTGGTGAAATAGGAGCATATATGGTGGGCCTGCCCCCAAATTAAGACATTTCGGAGAGTTGTTGGAGACTCCATTCAGGAGGATAATGATGTCAGCTGTCAGATAACCCCTTAGTGTTTTTGTTAAATTGTCCTAAAAACTCTGCATCTTATAAAAGCCCTAAAGAATTGATCACTCATCTCCTGGTTGCTGCTAGAACTGCCATAGCAAGATGGTAGAAGAGGAGTGACTCCCCTAAATTTATTGACTGGTATCAAAAAGTGTGGGAAATTCTGGCACTAGAAAGATTAACTCATCAAGTCAGAGTTTTACAAAGGAGAAAGAAAAAAGCTAACTCCTGTACTGAGAAATCTGGTGGAACTTTTTGGAGTTTGCTGGAGGAATCGCTGTCACCAAATCGGATAGTTTGAGAACATTCTTTGAATACTATGGGAGAGAGAACCCCCTTCAACAATAGTGAAACTCAGAATTAAGATATTAAAACAAAGAAAATAGGAGGAAAAAGGAGAGAAGCGTAATATTGTGTAGAGTTTTGATAGGACAACTCATGAACAGGTTACGCAGCTAAATGTAAGAAAAACAGAAAGTTGGACCTAAACATGAGATAATGAAAGGTCTCATCAGTTCAGCTTTAGGGAGTCCCATAGGCCAATTTATCATTTGTATTTGTGTATGTACTAGGTTCATTTCTATTTACGGTAAGTTATAAAACAAGGGTTTCTGTTGTAAAAGAATGGATCTGGTAATAAATCAAATCAAGTGAAAAAATACACTTCACTGAAATCGCCTCAAATCCAGGAGACCAGCCATACTCTCAGAAAATAATAACAACAATCTCCTGTCGGCCAACCAACCTTCCAATTGTCACCCCAAAAAGCCCATGAAAATTGACCCTGCTATGCAAAAGTCCTGTGGAATTTAATGTGTGTGAAACAAATAAAGGACTATGGAAGCAATTCTAGTCCTATAGAATTTAATAGAAAATGACAACCTCTCTGTAGTTGGTCCCAAACTGCTTTGGGCATTTTTCTGTCTTGTCTTTGGCAAATGGAATCTTTACCCGGCCATGTATGGACTCCCCGTCTGCCTCACGCTTGCACACACGTGTGGAGGGGAGTGGACGCCAGCATTGCTCTGTACTGATTGTCCGATTGTGTTTGAAGCGAGGGAAAGGGTTATTTTTCTCCTCGTCTTGAGTGCATTGTGTATTCCTCAGCATGTCTCTAAGCCGTTTGCTCCCCTTCTTGCCAAGTCTGGTTTTGGTTCCTTGCACATCAGATTAATGTCATTCGGGAACAGGATCGCATTGTTGTCTTTGTTTTAAAAAATGGCCTCTGATGCTGCCGAGCTGAGGTGCACCCTTCTCTCTAGCAGGGTTGGGACAATCAGTTTGTTTAAAAAAAAACGTGTGCAGAATGTGCCCATTGTTACCGTGTACATAATGCATTAGAAATGTCGTGGTTAATAACGTAGAGCAAGAAATGCACTGCCTGAGACCCACAAGAAGGGTACTCTACTCCACCCAGGCTCTTCTGTAGGGTTCCTGAAAGCCACCTTGGCACCCAGTTACACTAAACCCTTCTGTCGGATGCCCGTGGGCCCGAACTTTGACGAGGACTCAACACCCATATTTGTCAGCCGGGTTTTCCAGAAGAGCCCAGCGCCCATTTAGACACCTGGTAGAGCAGCCAGATTTCCAGCCCCCGGCAGCTCTCGTTCTCCGTGGGCTCTTTTAAAAGTCACCTAGGTCCCTCAATGGGAGCTGAAATCTGCCCCCCTGGTGTGAGCACCGAGCCCGTTTGGAAATCTGAGCCCCATGGCGCTTTTCAGCTGAGACGCGCTCTGACCACCAGCCCAGCCAGGTGGGAAGGAGAATCTTGGCTCTCCTGGTGGAGCTGATGGATAACAGATCACAAGGCTCTCAGTCTGAGTTTAATCTGCCATAAACCTTCAGGGTACTTGTGGGGGATGGGCTGAAGTCAAAGCCCAAATCTGAGTCCCTGCTCACAGCATCGGTGATTTTCCAGCCGAGAACCGGGGGATGGGCTCCCTCTTTGTGCCCGACCCCTGAACAGCTCCAGATGCTCTGGAAGCCTGGATTTGGATCCAAACTTTGTGGCTTGAGCCCAGATAGTGGGATTCCACTCTAGAGTCTGGCTCTAGAATCAGCCTCCCCCCATGTGTCACAATTATTACAATCTGCCCCCCTTTATAGCACCCTGGATGCTTCACTCCAGGGACGGTGAGGGGCCATCGGCAACGATACATAACTGGGTTGAAATTTGTCAAGTTCAGCTTGATGTTCACGTCAATACATCGTCTCTCGATGCGCCTCTCCCATTGCTTGTCCCACCGTTTCTCACCCCCAAAAGAAATGTGCAATTCAGACATTTCCTTCTTTTGAGATGTTGGTCCAGTTTCAGGCTGCTGCATTAGCTGTGGTGAAGAGACAATCTAAACAACCAGCCAGACAGCTGTTTGTTGGCCAAGGACAAACAGCTCCGTTCAGCGCTTGTTTAGAACAGATCTGGCTTGTGAGTTTCCTAACCGCCTGTGCAAAAACACATTGGGCCAAATTCATTCCTGCTGACACCATTGGCCTCGGCAGTGAATGTAGCTCATTGCATTTCAGGTTCTGTGCATACATCCTGGAACTAGGGGTGCTGGGGGGCTGCCGCACCTCCTGACTTGAAGTGGTTTCCATCATATACAGGATTTACAATTTGGTTCAATGGCTCTCAGCACCCCCACTATAAAAATTCTTCCAGCCCCCCTGGTTCTGTATGTTGACAGGGTGAGCTGCCATCTTGCTTTATGTGTGAGAAAGTATTTATAACATTTTCCAGCCTCATTCATGGCCTCTACATAGAATGAGTCTCAGTGCAGTTTCCAATGGACAGTCACACAAAACCCCACTACCACTGGCTCCCAATCTCAGCAGAGAAGCCAAGGCTACTGGGCCTTGGAGTCCAAACTCTCGTCCCTCACACTCAGGCCTCATCTGTGCTAGAAATTTAGGTGACGTTAGAACACAAGCTCAAGGGGTCGTGTTAACTAACATGATGTTAACCACGAGTCAGCTCTCACATAGACAGGAACTGAGCCCTGTGTCAGCTGGTCAGGAGAACAGACCAGGTCTCTGGAACCCTGGTGGTGACCGGAGACCTGACCAGTCCCCCTCCACGCTGACAGCAAAGTTGTGTTTGACATGGTGTTCATCACGCTCCTCTGGGCCATGCTCTGATTTTCTTAGTGAAGACAAGGAAGGCACATTGGTAAGGCAACCCTGGGGACACTTGGCCTGCAATTGTCTATGCTGTCCCTGATCCATGGGCGGAAACTTTCAGTCTCCAGGGCTGTCAATCTGTCTCTTTTCCCCAACACTAAATTCACTGAACACTGCCCAACCTCAACCCCCACAAACCCTTCCGTTTTTCTCAGATTTGGATTTTCCTGAACATCTTAGCTTATCCTAAAAAAAGCTATGGAAATGATTACAGATCATGGTCCATATCCTCCCCTCACGCTGGCAGAGTCCAGTCTTGGGAGAATGTGGCTCTGTTATTCTGAAGGCTTTTGCATTGTTTTGATTCCTTAATTTTGTTCTAAAATTTGCTTTTGTCATTGTACGTTGAACTGTGTTTCCCTAACCCCGTTGCTAACCAGTCATTTTAATTTGTAGCTTGCAGAGGGCATGACCAGCTCCGCTCTAATTAACATGCCAGCTTCTCGGGCCGATCTCCATGTATGTATTGCTTCATTTCTAACTTACTTAAGTGGGTTGCCTGGTTTTCATAAAGACTATCATTTTTTTAAATCTCCAAAAATTGGACCAGGGCTTTTGGTAAAAGGTTCCTCTGATCTGCTAGAAAAGTGACGGTTTGTTGGTATGTTTGTCTTTGGTCAATCATTTGCCTTAAAGTCAAAGAAAATGAGGTGGGGTTAGGGAGGAAGACCAGAAAGTATCCTCCCTCCTATTCCGATTGTAAGTGCCCGGCTATGCATGTTTTGGAGGGTTAGCCTTGTGAAGAAGAAAGGATATGGGTTTGAGTCCAAGATGTGGGATTAGGTGACCATTATCCAGATCCTGCATGGCAGTTTGTGATGCTCTAGATCTTATTTACCCAGTTCATTTGTCAAAGTGGTATGTTTTCTCATCATCTGCGGGAAGAGCTTATAAACTTATTCAGGCTGAAACCCGTCCCTGTTCAGAGGATTAGCAGGAGACCTAGGCATCATTTAAGCCCTCAACATTGGTCTTAAGTGGGATATAAGCTGTGTAGAGACAAGTGGTGCTGGTCCTCTGCACTGGAGTGATTTTCAGCCTAAGTACTTTGAAGGCAGCAGCCTATAGGTTTTCAGGGCAATCTTGGTCCCCCGAGTCTAGAGGAGTGCTCTGAAGGCTAGAGCTGTATGGAGGGAGGACCCATGGTTGGTGTAAAATCATTCCGCCTCTTGCCCATTTATAACAAAGTGGAGTATCTTGTTCCCACCTTGAGTTTTTTGCAAAATTAAAAGTTTGGGTAGTTTTTGTTGCCAGACAGGGTGATAAAATTGTGTCCCTTGCTCTGTGTCGATAGCCACAAGGTGTAGCTTTGTAGATCTGCAGTGGGTTCTATGTCAGGACAAAATTCCACCTGCTTAGACCATGGTTGAATTTGACCCATAAACTATAGGACAATTTCTGCTTCTATTGAAGTCAACAGGAGCTGCCCATGTACCCCTGAAGTCAGAATTTAGCTGCATTGCTTTCCATTTCCCTAATTGGAATAGATCCAATTAATTCCTCCCCACCAACACTGCCCTCACCTGATTCAATATTTGTTCACGTATACAACAAAGAAAGGCCAAACCCAATCCCAGAGCCAAAGCCTTTGAAGAACGTAAGAACATAAGAATGGCCGTACCGGGTTAGACCAAAGGTCCATCTAGCCCAGTATCCTGTCTACCAGCAGTGGCCAATGCCAGGTGCCCCAGAGGGAGTGGACCAACAGGCAATTGAGAGAAATCAAGTGATCTCTCTCCTGCCATCCATCTCCATCCTCTAACAAACAGAGGCTAGGGACACCATTCCTTACCCATCCTGGCTAATAGCCATTAATGGACTTAACCACCATGAATTTATCCAGTTCTCTTTTAAACGCTGTTATAGTCCTAGCCTTCAAACCTCCTCAGGTAAGGAGTTCCACAAGTTGACAGTGCGCTGTGTGAAGAAGAACTTCCTTGTATTTGTTTTCAACCTGCTGCCTATTAATTTCATTTGGTGACCCCTAGTTCTTGTATTATGGGAATAAGTAAATAACTTTTCCTTATCCACTTTCTCCACATCACTCATGATTTTATATACCTCTATCATATCCCCCCTTAGTCTCCTCTTTTCCAAGCTGAAGAGTCCTAGCCTCTTTAATCTCTCCTCATATGGGACTCGTTCCAAACCCCTAATCATTTTAGTTGTCCTTCTCTGAACCTTTTCTAGTGCCAATATATCATTTTTTAGATGAGGAGACCACATCTGTATGCAATATTTGAGATGTGGGCGTACCATCGATTTATATAAGGGCAATAATATATTCTCAGTCTTATTCTCTATCCCCTTTTTAATGATCCCTAACATCCTGTTTGCTTTTTTGACCATCTCTGCACACTGCGTGGACATCTTCAGAGAACCCCCCACTGGAAGAATTAGATACCGTGGGTCAAGAAAAGCACGTCTGGTTTACTGATGGGA